CTTTAGATGTGTAGAATATGACACATTGACACTAGTCTAAGTACCTCAAATGAGTGGTTATGCAGACTGTGCACACCACCAGCTGCTAAGAAGCCTAAAATGTGTATGTGATTTTGTCTCCTTGTAATAAATAAATAAATCACACAATAAATCTTTTCAACTTGCAATCGTTTTATTTTTAGATTCAAAATTTATATGGGGGGGCGAAATTCCTAAAGGGGGGGCGATATTCCTAGGAGATTCGCCCCTCTGGGGGGCGATATTCCTAGGAGATTCGCCCCGGGGGGGCGAATATCCTAGGAATATCGCCCCCCTTTTGAGAGGGGGGCGAATCTCCTGGGGGGGCGAATCTCCTGTGACACCGGGGTTTCCAAACGCATGCACGTGATAAAATGCTTGTATTTGATTGGTCTGTTTGCTCATGAATTATTAATGAGTTTGAGAAAGTTAAATAATTGCGTTAGTAAATTCTATAAATTGTTCCTGTATTTAACTATTATCAATAAAATGTTAAAACGGAGCTTTGATTGACTGATTCACCATTTATACTAGTGAACTATTAAACTATCGTGACTGATTTACACGATTTTTGCATATTTACCAGACGATGCCCAGGGCCGCCGACAGGTTGGCGGGGGCCCGGGGCAAATTATTTTTTAGGGGCCGCTATCTAAAAAATTTTTTTCCGAATTTTTCCGGAGAACAACCTCCCCCCCTCCGTCGCCAAAAAATTTTCGGTCAGTGGTCCATTTTACGGGTTAAAATTTTTTTACGAACGAGTACGTCGCAATTGCTTTCCAGTGACTTTACCTCACTTTTTTATGCCAAATTTCGGTAATTAACCAATAAACCAGATATCTTGTCCTTTGCGCGGAATTATTTAATATACAAAAAAGACTGGGGCCCAACAAAATTTTTTTCAGGGGCCCCCAGCACCTCGGGGCAATTTGCCCCCCCCCCTCTCTGCGGCCCTGACGATGCCCTATCCAACGACCCGAGGTTAACGCCGAGCGGGCGTCTTGTCTATTTTATTTTAAATTAGCGAAACACCAATAATAGTGTTTCGTAAAATCCGGAGTACTCCGAACAGTAAATGGAGCTAGGACTTTAAATACTTCAAATTGGAAGGTCTTTGAACAATAGGGAAATTGAGGGGTAAGCAAAAGATTATGCAAATATATTTAATTGCTATGTTTAGAATTATTTCTAAATACAGTAAGCTGTTTTTAGAAATAACTTCTAAATACAAAAACATTCAATCACACTTCAAACAACAAGATATGTTCATGTTATAAGATACACACTTCACGTCGATATACAGGGTGTATAAAAAAAAACGCAACCTCAGAATTTCCCAAGAAGTCGACATTGTTGTTAAAGACAAAAGATTTTAGGCGCCTGGGAATTTAAAATAGCACAACTGTCAAAATTACTGCACACGCGAGTTGCATAAAGCAAAATTTATGCATTTATTTAATGCACAACAACAGTAATATGATCTATTAGCAATTCGATTTCAATTCCCAGGGGCCTAAAATCTTTTATGCTTAAGAATTGCAAAGTGATTTCTTAGGAAATTCCGAGGTTGCGTTTTTTTTATACACCCTGTACTGTATAACGATTTCTGAATGTAATTGCTTTTTAATTAAATCACTTGCCGTCATTGAACACAAATCTGTCTCCAAATTTTGCAAATTCTGCAAATCTAAGCAGAACGGATTGCTCTCACACATGACTCTGCTTTATTTTCTCACCAACTTTGTCAATGTTCAAATATACGAACTCCCAGCGATTTTTATAACGCGTTGTTTGTGGAATAGCATTTCGGACGTTGTCAATGCTTCTTTCCACGCTTTGAGGATCTCGAAATCTCCTCTTTTTGCAACTAGATGCCATAACAGCAGTCTGAACAACGCCGTCTTTAATTCGTTCCTTCGTTACGCAATCGCTTGATTGAACAACTTAATTCTCTATTGTTACTTCCTGAATGCTATGAATATCTGCCTTGCTGGATTTAGAAACCACGTCTAAAACACCAACTCGGATTTGAAATATTACATGAAACAAGTACGGAATAAGTATGACGTAAGAATTGAAAATGCTGTCAATGGCTGCAGACAGAAAAACGAACGGCCTTCGCTCGAAATGTCGAATTTCGCCTTGTATTTTTCGGGAAGCTGCATCCCTGCCAACGAAAGCTTGTTATTATTGGCATTACCTACACTGGCACTTTCATGTAGTATTTAAAACACGAGAAGGAGTGTTTTATCATATTTAAAACGCGAGGCGCAGCCGATCGAGCGTTTTAGATATGATAAAACGCGAGTTCGAGTGTTTTGAATAGCTTAAAATACGACTACAAAAGAATACTATAATTAGGACAAACAATTATATAATCATACTAGTTAGGATGAACAATTATATATAAACATAGTTAATAGAAGAGATGGTTTGGAAACTCATTAGAATAACAATATAACTCATTATCTATGTTAGTCAACGTTTATTCATAAATCTGATCCTTCACCGTCACGTGTGTATTGTATTTTTGTCAAATCCACCAATAGCAATTTCCAATTTACCCTATTGTTCGAGTCACGGATAGGTGACTTTCCTAAAACATTGCTATTGGTTAGTTGGGCAAAAATACAACACGCACGTGACGGTGAAGGACCAGATTTATGAATAAACGTTGACTAACATAGATAATGAGTTATATTGTCATTCTAATGAGTTTCCAAACCATCTCTTCTATTAACTATGATATAAAGAATACTAATGAAGATGAGTTCTATCAGATATAAAGTCACTCCATGTGACATATTATGGCTGACATGATTTGCCACAAGGTTTATGAATTTTTAATGAGTATTTTAATTATTGATAATAGAGACATTGTGTGAACATGTGCAATCAACTAATTAAGTGTAAGCCTTGTATTCGTTCACATACATATGCTCCAAACTAGACGAAAGTTTTGGGAAGTTCCGCAATACTAGTAAGAGAATACATGCATTCATCATAACTATACGAACTAAAGAACTACAAATTAAAGAGTATTTTATTTGTGATCTAATATATATGGCGATAGAAGGAATTATTGCCTTGAAGGCGTATTCAAGAATCGTCTGCAGCAGATGTCTTCTCGACTTCACCACCAGGCTCTCTTTTCTTCACCAGTTCGTAATCAACTGAAACAACTTTATCAGGAACCTAAATGGAGGAAGCGGAAGAGAATATTTGTTTCAATTATTTAAGCCATCTTTAGACACGTCCTTTGCCTCCATCGGCTTATGGCGATGAACATAAGGGTGTTTTTATTCTCCAATCAAGCTTCAGAGGGACGAATCTTACTTATTGCGGTAAACCCAATATATTAGACACGCAAGTATCAATGAACCGGGACTTGCGAGTAGTACAGTAGATTAGAAGTCAGTTCAGCACTTTATACAATAACTTTATACAATAACTTTGCCTAAAGGCTTGGTGTCACTTCCTGAGCGATGTGATTTTATGCCATCGCGACAAAATAACAATAATGTAATTTTATATTATATCTATATTGAAGATTCATTGTGAATTAGATATAATGGCATTATGAGTCATATATTGAGCTATATAATTTCGCCACTTCTTTCGCACAAAAAAAAGAAAAGTTCGTTCAACCCCGATTAAATCACATCGCTCATGCAGCACGGTAGCAGATGACACTGCATCTTTTTCTGCCAGGGACAACCAACTTTTACATAAAACTATGTGAGACTTTACTATATAACTATACTATTAATTTTAAAGAATTGTCGCGCGCCCCTTTCCAACGCAAGACTGTCTCAATTGATGAGTTGCCGGTTCACAGGCCCCCTTTGTTTTTCGCATTTGCAAATAATACAATATATTATGAGATCACCAGGGGGCAATTAGCCGCGCAAAACAAAGGGGGGGGGGGCCTGCGAACCGGCAGCTCATCCATTACACACTGCGCTGCAGACTGAATAAAAAGTTGGGAAGATTCGTGATTGGTCAATCAGTAATAGACCCTCTCGATAATTACGTCACATATCTTGTTTTGAATCATCGTTCATCTTGAAACATGAGAATGAGGCTCCCAGGCCAAGATGAGATACGTGACGTAATTATGGAAAGGGTCTATTATCAAAGCATTTTTATGTGATATAAAGAAGCACAGGCAATGGCGTATGAGTAATTACACCCAACACATAACAAAAACTAATTTATTTCAGCGATTACATCGATATAAAACTTTCATAACAATATTTATGTCAGCTTCCTTATACAGCTTAACGAGAAACATATCCACATGATGCGTCAATCCACATCTTAAATAAACCAGGTTAGATAGATCGATGCTTAATAAATGTCACCAAAACTATTACGTGCAATAAAAGTAAATAACAAAACTTAGCTACTGCTACCGTATATAATTTCAAACACAAGATATATAATGTTTAAAAGAAGAAGATATATGCAACTGACGAATGTCTGTGTAGGTCAACTTTAGGAAGATGGTGCCTCAGTTTTGGTTGTAGTTGGTTGAAGAGGAATGTCATTCGGCTCGTTGTGGTTAACATAGATTTCTGGAAGCTGTGCAGAAAGAAACAAAAAAATTAAAAGGTGTTATAGTGACCTTATAAAATGATATGATGGAAAAATAAAAAAATATAATATGTAGTAATTGTCATCTATTGTGAAAAATGACGTGCGCATGCATTTCTACTTGCATAAATGTTGCAGCAAATTTATGAAATGGCTAATAACCGCCAAGTCAAGTCAATAAACCAACAGTGTTGACCTTCAATCCAGCCGGGAAACGTACATCAATTACATTTATCTTCTTCTATGATCAGTAATTTGTAAAAATAAATACAACACTCACCTCCCAGAAATCTTCGTCATCATACAACTGTTCACGTGTTGGAGGATCAAACACACTTTGCTTCACAATAAAGCCTGCAAGACAATATAAATTATGAAATAATTCAGGGTTTTTAACGGTGTTCTACTGTAACTGCCCAAATGAATCTAAAATGAAAAGGCAAGAAAGCAGCAAGGTATGGTATCATTATGGATGAGCATATTTTACATTCAGTGGTGTAGTCCTAAAACACCAGAAAGTTTTTTATTCTTGGTCCATGAAACACGATTTCCTGCATTTTAAGTTACAGTAAGTGATGTTGTAAAGTTTATAGTTTTATCATATTAAAACTAAAACAAGAAAATGCAACCACTACCGGGCTCATTAGTCAGAATATCATTCTGAATTTAAGGAATAATAGTTGCACATTTGATTGGAATGGAAAATTAGCGAAAAGAGAAACCAGTAAGAGAAAATATTCCAGAGGAAAACACAGCATTTGAAAGAGTGGAAGAATTAAGAAGCTTAGTTTTGCGGAGAACACGCCTAGAAAAGTAATAATTGAAATTAATGGGTTAATATTTGACAAACGAATGGAAAACGTATTACGAAGCAGGTGTTCACAGTAAGAGACTTAATTTGCAATGTTAAAATCAACCAATCACATTATATGTTGGCTTCGTGATGACTAAATAATATAATAATGTAAAAAAAGCGTCGATCGCATCTTCGGAGGACGATGCAAGAGATCGAGTTGCATAGTCCGACTCATAAATAAAGTGGAAAGAGGAAGAAGAGTGTACGTTCTCTTCCAGTTGCCGTAATCAATGTGAATACCAGTTACTCTCAGATTGGCACTATAGAAATTGTGTGATCGGCTGTCTGATTTAGAAAGAATCTAGGTTTCACCTGCAAACCGCGCAGACTCTTTTCATGTTTTTCTCATGTGTGATCTAAAATCGCGCAATCAAGTCAGGTCAAGTGAAGCAACCTCTCTATATAGTAGGTAACACTCAAATCATGATCGATGATTTTTTATTAATAGGGTAACTTGTTTGCAATGGTATTTAATTTGGTATATTGTAAATTGGCCGTGATAAAAACATAAGGGAATAGTTTAAACATTGAAAAACTAAATGTGGTAAAGCAGTGGTAAAACACTAACCAGTTATTGCCCCAGAGACAATGGAAATGCCAAGAGTGATCAACAAAGCAAGCACTTGATATCCAGCTCGTTTTGATGACGAATGATTGCCAGGGAATACCGAGCTCAAACTAAAATATTGATATAATATACATATGTGTAAATAACTGATGCAGAATTACTCGATTTGTATATTTTGACACAATAAAATTAATTTGACAAGATTTTGAAATATTATTTAATTTTGAATGAGGTTTACACAGTGAAATGAATATAACTACCTTCAGACAGAGTCCCCATTCTTGCCTGAAGGCAAATCACGTGTCTGGGGTTAAAACACGCGTGTTCATGTCTCGCGATTCTCTTAAAATAGTCTTAAAATAGTCATCAAAAATCAAATGGTCCGTCCCTAAAAATATTCTTTTCGGATTGACTGTGCTCATCGCATTCGTGAGAAGACTGGGACTAGATTTCCACTTTGAGGTAGCATTGGGTTTACACTAAATAACATTACGTTGTCTACCGTCGTTGTGAGTGTTAATGGGCTGCTTGCGTAACATATGATCCTCGTTTACTTATCAACCCAAACGCTCGATCAAAACGTTGGTAGATATTGTTACTATCAATGGGCAATTTCAGCTATAGACTAAATTTTGATCCAGACAAACAAAATAAAATACATCACCACAGCTAGAAAGAGCATGTTAATATTAGTAAAATTGTAAAGTTTGGCCGCAAAATATTGTAAAATTCGGAAAATATAGCTCTGTGAAATTTGCAAATTTTGTTTTATGTTTGGAAAATGCAATTTGGGCCGAAAGTGGTGTAAATTCCCTTGCGTAATACAAATTAATAGAAAATTTGCAAATTTCGTAGGGCTATATTTTTCTCATTTTACAACATTTCGCAACCAAACAGTTTGCAATTTTACTAATTTTAACATGCTCTTTCTAGCTGTGCTGACGGATTTTGTTCTTCTTGCCGAGATCAAAATTTAGTCTCTAACTGGGATCATGCATTTCACTGGGTGATGTGATGGGCACACTACTGATGTGCTAGTTGCAAGCTGTTCAAGTGTTCAACTTACAGTTTACATGATCTCTAACTAAGCTCATCCCGCTACAGTATGCAATTAAGTTTTGTTGTCGAAGAAATAATGGTGTTATTTCTGGTCATGGAATGGTTTCGCAGATGGAAATTTCGAGTGTAAATTTTATACACCTATTGGACAACCACGAGCAGTTGCGAAAAATGCAACCATAGGAACAGGGATCGAACCAGCGGCCCTGCGATTCTGGTGCAGCGCCCCCATTAACCAAGCCACAACCGTCGCGCCCCAACCGCAAGTTGATGTACATACTGTACCAACATGATATCAACATGTGTATCAATTTTACTAGCTCTACATAATATTATTTATTACAAACCTTTTCTTATAGTCATCCTCATCAGCGAGCTTAGCGGCCACGGCTCCAGCAATTCCAGCCAATATGGCGGGCATCCCATGAAGGTTGTTCACTCCGCATGTGTCATGAATACGAAGTTTTTCATCCAAGAATGGCTGTAAAGTAAAAGATCGTTTTAAATATCTAATAGTATTACGATTATGGCAAAGCGGTTCATTTGCAAAATGCAGCATTTTGATTGTTTCCTGAGCAGTCGGTAAGTAGTAACGTGCAGTATGGACCGCTCACCGATAAAATAACTTTTTCCCAGTAAAAAAAGGCTAGAAATGTGTGACCTTGGTAAGTTTTAATAGTAATAACTTACTATTCTACTCTAGTTTGTGTTAAAACGTTGTTTCCACATACAAAAACGCTGATTATAACAAAATGGGGACAGAGTGACACTCATTATTACTTTATAATTATATTTATAAATTGTTTTTCGAAGAATGCCCTTGTTTTTTGTCATATATGTAATATGATATTATAAATAACTTATTATTCAATACATTTGTGCTGCTGAAGTTTCTTGGAATCTTAACTCAGATAGTAACTTTTGAAATTAAACGACCTTTACGAATTTATTCGAGTCAATTTATGCACTATATATAAATAATAAATGAATTTCACAGTAGACCAAGCAGTCCCTCGGAGAAAGGAGGGAGCGGCTACAACACATCAAGAAACGAAATACGCCCACTTTTCCCTCTTGTCAAGTTGGCTCCGCCTTTGCATAATAAACATTAGTATAAACCTACTAGTAGGCTATCACATATCGTGGCTTCTGATTGGCTACGCTACTAGTAGGCTATTAGTGATAGCCTATAATAGAAAATTCAAAATGGCGGAAAATTCGCGTTTTGCACTTTTGCCGAAGTGTCTGATGATTTTTTGGACGATTTGTTGAACAATTCGGTACTAAAAAACCCCGAAAAAACAACAAAAATATGGAATGGCAATTTTTAAGGGTAAGAAAATAGACAAAATAACATACACTCGATGAAATTTTAAAATTAAAACTGAATTGTGTAAAACATTTTACGCGAACAAAAACTAAAATGTTTGTTTACCTTTAATGGTTTTATAATGTTTTTGTGTATTTTTGTATTGTGTTTGTAGCCTAGTTATAAATTAATGATAAAGTTTATACTAAAACAATTAGACAACTCGGCCTCGTTGTCTAATTGTTAATTACTTATATTCAATTAAATTTATCCAATAGGAACCGTTAATGTCATGTTTATTTACAGGGTGTATAAAAAAAGTAATCGAACTTCATAAACAAAAATTTTTCATATTCGGAAAGATCAAGCTTTTATCTATTGAATGACATGTTTTTCATGCCAAGTGGAGAAAAAATAAGCATGTACGAGTCCGATAAAAAATGTTAGTCAGAATAGTATAGTTTCACCTCTGTGCCTAATTAAAGCAGAGCATAACAAAAAAAAACCCAATTAATCACGAACTTGTCGTAGCTTAGCTAAGATTTATTCCTACTTAATAATAATTATGCAGCCTAGTGCCAGGCTCTCTCTATTCGTTGCTTTGATATATTTAAATAAGTCTTAAACGTTTTATGCCTGGGTTGCTGTGCGGAACGCTTCAGCGAGAGAGCCTGATTTCAAAACAAAAAAGTGGTCCCTGACCTGGTTACCAAGCATACCGCATTTGTAAATAGAAAATTTATGGAAATTTCCTTCGTTTATAATCAAGTCATTAGTTTCGCTCTAATGCTGTCGGAACAATGAAATAGACACTTCCCGAATTTGCTTGAGTGCACACGAAACAATAGCTTGGAATCGAGGCGGACAATGTAATCATTGTAAATAACTACTTATTTACAATGATTACATTGTCCGCCTCGATTCCAAGCTATTGTTTCGTGTGCACTCAAGCAAATTCGGGAAGTGTTTATAGGCTACGTTTCGCTACCATACAGTCAGAATGGAATAACGGGCTAAATATGACTCGTGTTTACTAAAATATAAAGCCATATTAACTGCTATCTAGAAGCTTGAAAATTATGCCGAGTCTTCGACTAAAAATGTTTTGACAACACAATCATGTCAGGCAAATATTTCCAATCTCCTCAGCAATTTAAACCTGTCAAGTAGAAAGCGTAGTTGTGTATACACGCTTTTCATAAATGGCTGCCGATTAAAAATTCTTTTATGTGCATATAAATTAGCCCAACTAGCCTCGTACTCATGTTAAGATTTCAAAGGAATTTTTACACAGAAACGAGGCTAGTTGGGCCAATTTATATGAACGTAAAGAATTTTTAATCGGCAGCCATTTATGAAAAGGGTGTATACCAGTATGGTCAATCTAGTGTTGATCACAACTTGCGAGTATATAAATAACATCAACGATTATACGACCATTGCACACACTCAGTATCGTAAATTTGTATATATTTTTTTTAATTTAGCACATTTTTAATACAGTTTGAATTTGGTTATGTAGACATCGAACATGATCAACGAACATTGTCGACATTTGTCGTATTTACAAGGTTATTTGTATATATAACTTTTCCGCCATATTAAAAATACTGAAATCTGCTATGCGTTCTGAAGCACCTTTAGCGGTGACGTCACACCTAGGTCCCAGTCTCGTACCACATCCACTTTTTTCTCGCGCTTGCTTCAGAATGACTGGGACTAGGCTGATAATTATGAATCATGTGCGTATACAGGGTGTATAAAAAACTGAATTCTTTCAAATTCAAATTAGCTATAACGTATTGTAGTAATTTGACAGCTCTAATTGCCTTAAATTAATGGTTGGGTAAGAACACAAGGAATACTGTATTTCTTTTAAATTTTCTAATTTTTATTTCTTTGAGTTTTGTCCCATAAGTACAAGACCTAGTGTTCTTATCCAACCATTAATTTAAAGCAATTAGAGCTGTCAAATTACTACAATACGTTATAGCTAATTTGAATTTGAAAGGGTTCAGTTTTTTTTATACACACTGTAGTGTATTGAAGTGAAATTCATCAACTTTCAATGGTTTAAGCCCAACTCTCAACAGTGAAAATATGCGATTCTGACTAGTATTTTTTATCGGACTCGTACTTGTTTATTTTTTATCCATTTGGCATGAACAACATATTGTTCAACAGCTAAAAGCCTGATCTTTCCAAAGATGGAAAAATCTCGTTCATACGCAGTAATTCAGACACAATAGCGCGCTGAAGTTCGATTACCTTTATTTTGATATAAACTGTTATAAACTCAAATATCGGTTTCACTAAATTGTATTTTTGACACGTACTTTACCGACTACATACACAGTATTATTAAATAAATCTAAGTCTAAAATAGCGTTCTATTTTTATAGGTTTTTTACTTTATTAACAAAACAATATACCAGATAATCTAACTAATAATACGCTGCATAATCAGCTACATAACTTAGTAAGTTCCAACTGAATGAGTTCTTAAAGAGTTCTTAATGAGTTCTTAATATTATAAAACGTTCATAATATTCTCACAACATTCCATTTTTCCTCAACTTTGGAATCGATCCGGCGGATAAACCTCGCGACCTCGGCGCGTCACGTAAATCGGCTGTTTCCGATTGTTAGTGCTGCTCTTGTGTGAATTCATCAATTGATCTGCTTCGTCACGATTAATCTGGTCTGGCAGGACGTCTCGCGTACTCTGATCGATTCTGCTCAGGTTGAGTATGTTGTCTTGAAACGTTTGTTCTCCTCGTACTCTTTCTCGCTCTTCGACGTAAGATCTCTCTCGTACAATCTTGAAATGTGACTTGTCTCGCATAAAAACTTTCCCGTCATCAAATCGGGCTGTCACGTCGTTTCCACGTATATTGATCACTTTACCAGGAATCCGGCTAAGTGGATCTGTCCGTTTGTTTTTCATGAGAATCTTGTCTCCAACAGCAATTCTGGACTTTCTCACATTTCTGCGCTTGTCGTGGTATCTTTTCGACTTCAACTTATACAAGGCATCATTTTGTCTGACTTCAGGGTGGTTATCACGTTCGGGTGTTTCTGAGATCTCTGGCAATACTCCAAGTCGCATTTTTCTCCCAAACATGAGCTTGAATGGACTTTTCCCTGTACCAGGATGCGGTGTGGCACGGTAAGCATTTAACATTCCTTCAATGAGACAGCGATATTTCTTCCTTTCTTGCTTCCCAATTCTCTCCATCTTCTTCACGTTTTGCATTAATTTCTCAGCTTCACCGTTTCCTCTCGGATGTCTGGGTTTTACCGGTTTGTGAACGAATCTTCTCTCGCGAGCATATGCACTGAATTCATGTCCGTTAAATGGAGGTCCTCGATCTGACTTCAGCTCCTTCACTGTACCAAATGTTGAAAACCACGAATCAAGAATCGGTTTTACACACGAAAACGCTGTAAATCTGCAGTAGCTTACAACAGGATAACGGCTGTAAAGATCATAGCCGACCAGGGCGTAAGTTCCATCTTTGAACGGTCCCTTGAAATCCACAGAGATTGTATGCCAAGGGCCTGGTGGCAATGATGTTGATTGAAGAGGCTCATCATAGGTGCGATCATGAGTGACTTGACAGCTTTGGCAATTCTGTACAGCTTCTTTACAGAGTTTAGCAATTCCAGGAAACCAAATCTTTTCTTGAAGAAGTTTCAGCGTGCGGGTCTCTCCCGAGTGCCCAATCTTGTGTGCTTTCTCGACAAATCTTCTTCGACTGCTCAAAGGCGGAATTACTTTGTCCTTACACAGGATGATTTCTCCAACAACAGATAAGTCGGACGCTACTCCGAGGAATCTTGAAACTCTTGGATCTTTTCCGTGTTTCTTCCAGAGGTTTCGTTGAATTACTTCTTTTAGGAATTGGTAATCATTGTCGTCTTTTGCCATTCTGGAAAGGTACTCGTTGTCTTCAGAAACAAAAGTTCGTAATCCTTCTTCTAACTCGTTCACGGACTTCACCATGGGAATGTCATCATGTCTCCTCGTCAGGTGTCTTGATCCATAATCCGCGATGTTCTCAACTCCTTTCTGATATTTGACCACATAATCTAAACCTTGAATGGCGAGAATTTGTCGCTCGATACGCAGTGGTGCTCTTGAGGTTGGATTGTTGAAGAGATGTACAAGCGGTTTGCAATCCGTAAAGATTTCAAACTTTGGCGGTCCAACCAAGTACTTATAAAGGGCGTCAGCACAAGCAAACTTGATCGCAGCTGCTTCTAACTCAGTCTGTCCGTATCTTGTCTCAACGTCAGTTAGGGCACGGTTGGCTACGTGACACATTTTCCACTGTCCGTCGTCATCTTGCTGGCATAAAATGGCACATAGTCCTCCAGGAACATTGCTCGATTTCTCTGTTTTCTTTCCCGCATTTATGTAAATTCTTATCGGTCTTTCGGGAACAAAGTAGGAAAGGGTTGTTTGCTCCGTCAAACTGCCTTCAAGCTATCGAAAGCTTCCTGTTCTATAGGTCCCCAATGGAAGGTTGAGGTTGATTTCGTTAACTGTCGCAGTGGTGCGGCAATCTGGGCAAAGCTGGTGATAAATCGAGACATATATCCCACCATCTGCAGAAAGCTT